GAAAGTAGCACTCAGAATTCTCATTTTTGGCAATCACCTTATAAGATATGCAACGTTTTGTTGGCTTTGTGCTACTATTGGTGGATACTTACTCAACAATCCCCCCCCCCCCCCCCCCCCCCGTCTTAAAAAAAAAAATTCTCCTCAAGGACCCAAAAGAAAACAAGTGATACGTCCCTTCTTGATCCTCAATCAAACCTCAGAAAGGAAGACGTCAAATAAAATACCTGAACATCGTAAAATTTGATATAAAACCGAGAACTATCTATAGATAGCTTTGTTTGAAGAATTTCTGCAATTGTTGAACTGAGTTTTCCATTAACACTTGGTCCAAGGCCACCATTGAGATCAATTCGCCATATGCAGCTGGCTCTTCACTATCAGCAAAAGCTACTGGCACTCCTCCATTCAACAAGATCATCACGTACTGGACAGTAAAGAAGAAAATAAATCAGTGTATGTTAACAAGCGTATATTGTACCAAAAAAACAGAAAGGGAACTTCTATATGGTCTAAAGAGAAACAATTTTTCTACAGTAATGATTAGCTAAAAAGCTACTCCATAAAATTTTAAACATAAAAGGGAGGATAAAAGATCAAGGGAACTGGGGGCAAGCTGAATTGAACTTCTCTGGCAAAACATTCCAGTTGGAAAAATATTGCATATTCATAGAAATAATTAACACACCCAAAGTACAAATAAAATACCTCGTAATGAACATTTTATTATTAATCCTTTTGGTATATGGCTTTTAAATCTCATTCTCACTAAAAAGGAATGAATAATGAGCATGCTTATAAGGAACAACTGAATTATGATATGCATTCAAGCTAACAAATTGAACTTTACAGCACAAGTACATATATTGGAAGAGTGTCTACTAGTACCACACATCATGATTGTTGAAAAAGAAATAAAACCAAAGGAAGGGGTTTAACGAATGAAATTCTTGGGATGAAAGTTTAGGAAGCTCCATGGAACCTAAACCACCAGACCTTTTGTTACAATATTTGAATTGTATTAAATGATAACGGGTTTAATATAACCAGAGAACCTTACATAAGTTTAGCCTATGTAACATCGTCGATAAGAACCAAGTTAGTTTCTGATTGACTAATTGTTAGTTTTACGACTCTAAATGAGTTAAACATCAAAAAGAGGGCCAGTGCAAGAAACTGAACAAGATATGTTGGTGACATCTGGTTGCCTATTGTGATGTTGCTAGGGCATCCTACAGTAACTGGTCACCACCTGCAAAAATTCGGGGCAGGGCAGTTGATTATTTAATAGGCATGTAGAGCCAGAGAGAAACCTTGACTAAACAAACTTACAAAGACATTAATGCTTGTAACATTCCACTTGTTTCTCCACAATAAGACACTAAGCCTACACCAAGGCTAACACTAAACATTTTGCCGCCGACAAAGACTTGTCATCACCAGTTTTACTCAGTTAACTAGTTCTTTGATGCGGACAGTGTTACCTTAAAAAAAATATGGAAAAGGGTTATGTGAAATTGATCTTTCCAACTTTTTCTTCAAATATGAAATTACTGAGACAAAAAATATGTATGGGCCCTATTGGCTAGTTTCTTTTTTCTTTTTCTTTTTTTAACTACCTACTAACCGTTGAAAAGAAACTAGGAACATAATAAATTGCAGAAAAAGTAGAATCTCTATTTTTAAAACGAAATTACAAACTCGATATCATTGTGCCATAACATTCATCACTCCATTTGCAATCCAAAAAACACTGCCCATTTTTGTTTGATCAATATTAGTTTTCAAACATACTACCAAACCCAAACAGTTGGGAAGTAAACTTCGAAACAAAAGTTTTCAGATATATCATAAAGTTTTTTTTATGAATATATCTGAAAACTTTTGTTTCGAAGTTTACTTCCCAACTGTTTGGGTTTGGTAGTATGTTTGAAAACTAATATTGATCAAACAAAAATGGGCAGTGTTTTTTGGATTGCAAATGGAGTGATGAATGTTATGGCACAATGATATCGAGTTTGTAATTTCGTTTTAAAAATAGAGATTCTACTTTTTCTGCAATTTATTATGTTCCTAGTTTCTTTTCAACGGTTAGTAGGTAGTTAAAAAAAGAAAAAGAAAAAAGAAACTAGCCAATAGGGCCCATACATATTTTTTTGTCTCAGTAATTTCATATTTGAAGAAAAAGTTGGAAAGATCAATTTCACATAACCCTTTTCCATATTTTTTTTAAGGTAACACTGTCCGCATCAAAGAACTAGTTAACTGAGTAAAACTGGTGATGACAAGTCTTTGTCGGCGGCAAAATGTTTAGTGTTAGCCTTGGTGTAGGCTTAGTGTCTTATTGTGGAGAAACAAGTGGAATGTTACAAGCATTAATGTCTTTGTAAGTTTGTTTAGTCAAGGTTTCTCTCTGGCTCTACATGCCTATTAAATAATCAACTGCCCTGCCCCGAATTTTTGCAGGTGGTGACCAGTTACTGTAGGATGCCCTAGCAACATCACAATAGGCAACCAGATGTCACCAACATATCTTGTTCAGTTTCTTGCACTGGCCCTCTTTTTGATGTTTAACTCATTTAGAGTCGTAAAACTAACAATTAGTCAATCAGAAACTAACTTGGTTCTTATCGACGATGTTACATAGGCTAAACTTATGTAAGGTTCTCTGGTTATATTAAACCCGTTATCATTTAATACAATTCAAATATTGTAACAAAAGGTCTGGTGGTTTAGGTTCCATGGAGCTTCCTAAACTTTCATCCCAAGAATTTCATTCGTTAAACCCCTTCCTTTGGTTTTATTTCTTTTTCAACAATCATGATGTGTGGTACTAGTAGACACTCTTCCAATATATGTACTTGTGCTGTAAAGTTCAATTTGTTAGCTTGAATGCATATCATAATTCAGTTGTTCCTTATAAGCATGCTCATTATTCATTCCTTTTTAGTGAGAATGAGATTTAAAAGCCATATACCAAAAGGATTAATAATAAAATGTTCATTACGAGTATTTTATTTGTACTTTGGGTGTGTTAATTATTTCTATGAATATGCAATATTTTTCCAACTGGAATGTTTTTGCCAGAGAAGTTCAATTCAGCTTGCCCCCAGTTCCCTTGATCTTTTATCCTCCCTTTTATGTTTAAAATTTTATGGAGTAGCTTTTTAGCTAATCATTACTGTAGAAAAATTGTTTCTCTTTAGACCATATAGAAGTTCCCTTTCTGTTTTTTTTGGTACAATATACGCTTGTTAACATACACTGATTTATTTTCTTCTTTACTGTCCAGTACGTGATGATCTTGTTGAATGGAGGAGTGCCAGTAGCTTTTGCTGATAGTGAAGAGCCAGCTGCATATGGCGAATTGATCTCAATTGGTGGCCTTGGACCAAGTGTTAATGGAAAACTCAGTTCAACAATTGCAGAAATTCTTCAAACAAAGCTATCTATAGATAGTTCTCGGTTTTATATCAAATTTTACGATGTTCAGGTATTTTATTTGACGTCTTCCTTTCTGAGGTTTGATTGAGGATCAAGAAGGGACGTATCACTTGTTTTCTTTTGGGTCCTTGAGGAGAATTTTTTTTTTTAAGACGGGGGGGGGGGGGGGGGGGGGATTGTTGAGTAAGTATCCACCAATAGTAGCACAAAGCCAACAAAACGTTGCATATCTTATAAGGTGATTGCCAAAAATGAGAATTCT